GACCCTGTACTAAAATACAATAATAATAATAATAATAATAATAATAATAATAATCTGCTAAATATTACATAAAATATAAATCACCTTTATGAGTCTTCAAAAATATTGTGCTCACTCAACTAGTTCTGTTTTTATGCTTGGCTTGGAATCCTTCTCCAAGGTCCAATCTGACTGGAAAATGTATTTTGTGAGAAAGAAAACACATGCACTTTATTTTTAATATGGTATATTGTAATAATTGTTCTGTAACAATAATAATTTTATTATTGTTAATTTCTTATTGTGCTGAATTTATAAGCTAAAGTACAAACAACCCTTCCAAGGCTTTCAGCCCTGGTAGAATGAGTAGTGATAGATCATCTTTTATTACATTACTTAAGTCTTTTTTTTTTTCCAAATGTATTTGGTGCAAGGTCTCACTCACTACACAGATCTCGTAGTGATCTTCCTGTTTTCAGCCCTCCCCGCACTGGGATTACAGGCACGCACCACCACACCCAGCCTAGGTTCGGTTGACACCTGGGGCAGGGACCCGTGCGGCATGTGGCACCAGGGATCAAACCCCAGTCCCTGTGCTTGCCTAAGCAGGAGCTCAGTCTGCTGAGCTATCTCACTGGCCCTATTTAAGTCCATATATATATACACATATATATTTATATTTAAATCCATATATATACACACATATGTATATGTGTATATATACATGTATGTATATATGTGAATATATGTATATATATTTATCAAACAAATAAAATTTTATCAACTTTATTTTTTCAAACAACCAAGAATTTTCATTAATTGTCTCTATTTTTCTGTTATCTATTTCATTGATTTCCATTAATGACCACTATCTTCTCACTTTTTTGGTACAGGGCTAAGTTGCTTTTTCTGTAAAAATGTTTAAGCCTAAATTATTAAGATTCATTTTCTTTTCTGTTATAGGTGCTTAAAATAGTAAATATCTCTCAAATGTCTGTTCTAGTTGCAACTCACAAGTTTAAAATTTTTTCATTCAGTTCAAAATACTAATTTACTTCTTTGGCCTATGAGTAATTTAATTTTCAAATATTTGGAGTTTGCAAACATCTTTCTATTGTTGATCCTTAATTTAATTCCATCATATCCAGGGAATGTACTTTGTCTGATTCAAGTCCCTTTAAATTTATTGAGACTTGTTTTATGACCCACTACATGGGTTAAGTTGGAGCATGTATTCTTCCTTTCTTTATCTATTTAATTTTCAGAGTTTTCTTTCCTTCCTCCTCCTCCTCTCCTCCTCCTCCTCCTCCTCCTCCTCCTCCTTCTCCTCCTCTTCCTCTTCCTCCTCCTCCTCCTCCTCTTCCTCCTCCTCTTCTTCTTCTTCTTTTTGCAGTACGGGGGATTGAACTCAGGACTTTGTGCTTGCCAGGCAAGCGCTTATTCTACTGAGCCATCTCCCTGGCCCATATATTATTTAAAAAGAACATAAATTTTATTGTCATGATGTACAGTGCTCTACACTCATCAGTTGAGCTCATAGTAACTTTCAAGGCTTCTATATCCGTAGTTTCTTTAGTTGTCTTAGCCATTACTGAGAGTAGGGTATTGAAGCATTAAGCTATTAATGCTTGTTCAATTTGCCATGCAATCACTTTTTTTTTTTTTTTTTCTTGTTTGCAGTACTGGGGATGACACCCAGCACTTCAGGCATAAGTAAGCACTTTACTACTGAGCAACAGCTCCAGCTCCTCAATTCTAGTTAGGGTCATTATGGGTATGCACACATTTGTCATATAATGCTATCACTGTAAAATGTCTGTCTCTAAGTATATTTCCTGTCTTAAAAGTCTGTTCTGTCTGATGTTAATTATGCCACTACAAATCTCTCACGGTTATTGTTTGCATGGCCTATCACTGGTAAAACTTGTTGGTCTTATTATCGCCATCACAATATATAATACAATTTTATACTTCTTGGTGGTTTTTTTTGTGTGTGTTTGGATTTTTTGGAAACAGGATCTTGCTATGCAGTTCAGGCTGGCCTTGAACTCACTTTGTAGCCCAGGCTGGTCTTGAACTCACAACCATCCTCCTGCCTCAGCCTTTCAAGTACTGGGATCACAGGTGTGTGCTACCTTGCAGTGCTTAACAGGCAAGCTTTCCCATAGTGAGAAAACTAAATTCTTGTATCACTTTTATGCATTTTTGGTACAATTTGGGGTATAACAACAGTAAATATTTGATTTATTAAAAGCAGTTAGATATCAAAGCAAGTACAAACATATTTTACGTTATGGTATTGTCTCCTGATGTTCTTTGACCTTCAGGCTAGACAATAGATGTTGAGAATGACACTCATCTGCCTTTCTGCCTATCCTGAATTTGTAAAATCTACAAAGGTTGTTACCACAGCTCTTTTGTCAACACAAGCACTACAATTTAGAAGGACTAGTTTAAATCAGGTGGCTTAATTTTAGGAATTGCTCCCTCTCCTTCAAGCCTTTGATGAAACTAATATATATATATATATATATATATATGACATATATGTCATATATGACATATGAAACTAATATATAATATAAAAATATGACATTTAGTGATCTAATATAGACCACTAAATATGTCATATAGTATGTCAATTTGCACAGTGCTGTCTTTTCTCATGATTAAAACAGACACATACTTCTGAACTTTGGGGACTCGTTATTTTACTAGGGAATGTAACCATTACATGCCTCCTATGTAAAAAAGATTTCTACCTAGCTTTGATTCTTTAGCATTTAACAGACTTGTTCAGTGGAAGGAGATTATTAGCTTCCCAGTTTGTTAATGTTTCAGGTATGCGTTATCTAGGTGATATCTGACAGCATGGACAGGACTCCAATGTGCATATTTTAATGGGAACTTTAAAAATTCTAGTCTGTTCAAAGGATCACACAGGGTAAAAGACCGTTTTAAAATATTTGTTCTTGTCCTTTCAAATGTCTATGACATTTTCAATGATATTTAAAATAGAATATGATTATCTAAATATGTTACAAAATTAGTTTTGTTATTTTTGGATTTGTGGATCTTTTAAAATCACTTCTGTTAGGGCTAGCCAAATAGCTCAGTGGATTAAAGAGCCTGCAAGCAGGTGCAGGGGCCAGGGGTTCATTCCCGGAGCTGCCATGCCGGCCCGACCCCTGGGCGCACTGAGATGGCGATTGAGAATGGGCGTGGTGGCGCATGCCTGTAATCCCAGCTTTTGGGAGGCTGTAAACAGGCAGATTACTATGAGTCGGATCCATGTAGTGAGATCCTTTAGACCCTCCAGACCCTCACTAAAATACAAAACCAAAGCAAAACCCTGCTATATTTGATATAGTAAGAAAAATGATGAAATTATCAAAAAGGTATAAGGAGTTCTAGAGAGTAGAACATAGGATCAGTATTAATTGAATGGATGCATATAATCATAGATCAGAAGAATAAATAAGAACCTTTTCCTTTTGAGAAACAGCACATTTTTTTTTCCTCTAGAAATATCTATTTCTATAAGCAACTTCCTTCCTTCAGTTGTCCATTTGGCCTTCCATTTCAGGACGGCAGTTCCTGTCAGGTCTTCCTTACCAGTGTGTGCATGCACAAAGGGTAACTTACTTACCTGGCTCAAGTAACACACCCCTGGAATTTGCTAGCCCTCTTTTTTGTCATTTCAAAGTCAGATATACATACATATTTACAACTATAAATGACCCAATTTTTCACCTAAATTTTAACTCCAAAACACACATTTCTGGTTTTTTGTTTTTTTTTTTTTTGTATTTTAGGGAAGGGTCTACAGGGCGTTCAGGGTCTCACTACTAGATCTGACTCGTAATGATCCTCCTGTTTACAGCCTCCCAAGAGCTGGGATTACAGGCGCACGCCACCATACCCAGTCTCAATTGCCATCTCAGCGTGCCCTGGGGTTGGTTGGGGCTGGCATGGCAGACCCTGGCGATCTAACCCCTGGCCCCTGCACCGGCTTGCAGGAGCTTTAATCTGCTGAGCTATCTGACCAGTCCTCAAAACAAACATTTCTATGAAACCTTCTTGCAGCACACAATGACAGAAGATAAAGTCTTTCGATGCAGGCAGTTTTAAACAGGCCTGCCAACCATAGCCGCTACAACTTTTATGAAAGCAGAAGCAAATGGAATACGATGTTTCTAAGGAGTAGGTGTGATGTACTCAGGTGTAAGGAGTGAGATGAGACATAAGGTCAACTTGCATTTGGAGGTTCCCACTGGAGATATATATAGATATTTGTTTATATAGTATGTTCCTATGTTTAATGGAAATCTCAATAAACCATACGTGTTCAAAACTAAAAAAAAATTAACTGAGCTATCTCCCCAGCCCCTTTTCGCATATATTTATGTATCCATTAAGAAAAAGTAATATATCAGTTAACATCACATGATTTAAATAAACAATTTAATCAAGAAGAAGAAGAAGAAGAAGAAGAAGAAGAAGAAGAAGAAGAAGAAGAAGAAGAAGAAGAAGAAGAAGAAGAAAGAAAGAAAGAAAACGCTGCATAAAACCAGCTGTACGCAGATCTCTGCCTGGGAAATATGTACCTTCCCCCTACTTAAGACTATTTGATGCCAAAAGATAAATTTCTTCACGTCTTGTGAAGGAAAGGCAGCGTTTCAACATTTTAACTTAATCTGCCTCCTACCAATGGACACAAGCCCTGCTCAGCGGAAGGGAAGAACACAAAACGGCCTCCATGGACCTAAGGACCTAACACCGGGAGGGCATGGCGGGCGAGTGCAGGAGGCTGCTCCGCTGCCTTCTACACCCGAGGCGACCAACAGTCAGCGACACGTGTCGGAGGCCGCTACGCTGTCAGCCAGGCTTCTGGCGTTCTCGCACCCTCCACCGCACTCGCGGTCCAGAGCGCGGGTGCGCGCACGGCCCCGCCCGCCAGCCTCGCGCCGCTCCCCTAGCCCCGCCCAGTGCGTCGCTGGGCGGCTCGCGGCCCCGCCGCTGGCCGCGGCTAGGTAGCGTCCGGGAGTGACGTCATGCGTGATGACGCGCGTGCGCACGGAGACGTGAAGACGCAGGCGGGCCGTGGAGAGTGAGTTTCCGTGTCTGTCTAGACCCGCTGGTGTAGCCGGTGGGGCTGCGTTTCTAGCTTGGATTTGCGGCTGCGGGCTCTGGCAGCTCCGTGGGGGGCTGCCGGGGGCCGGCGCCTTCCGGGAACCTGCGCGGGCCGGGGCCGGGGCCAGGGCCGGGGCCGGGTGCTCAGCCCTCGCAGCCCGGCGCTCCAAGGGACCGAGAGCCCCCGGGAGGCGCGGCCTGTCCCCGGGACCCTCTTCCTGGGCGCCGCTCGTCCCAGCGCTGTGGCCGGGCGCCGGCCTGCCGGGATCGCCGCGGATCGGGCGGCTCTCGGGGGCGTGGAAGGGTGCTTTCCGCAGCAGAAAGTTTGCGAGGACGTTGCATCAGCGACACATCCTGCGGCCTCAGGCGCTGACTGAACGTTAATTTTCGTATCATAACAAGTGTGTGGCAGATCAGCCCTTTAACCGCCGCAGGACTTCATGCGGAACAGGAAATCACCTAAGACAATTTGACCGCTTTTTTTCCTCTTATTGCAAAGCTTTTTCCAAAAGCGGATCGTTGGCACATGTCCTTTTTCAAAGTGAACATAAGCTTTTTTGAAGACTTAAGAGTTATTTCTGCAAGTGAATTATTGCATAGTTATACTATTGCATCGTTAGGATTCCGTTGTTGTGTGTAGGACCCTTTCAGTACGTTTCGTGGCACTCAGAGTTCTTTGAATTACTTTTAAAAAGTCTTCGTCTAACTTTCCTTTTCCTTTTTTTTTTTTTTTTTTTCCTTTTCTAGTTCTAACAAATTTTAGAGTTTTGTTGTTTGTTGCTGGTCAGGCATAGGTTGGGAGGACAAGTTATCTTTCAAGGGATGATACTCGATCCTCAGTTGTTCCTGGACTAATAGGATCAGCATTACCTGGTAACTTATTGGAAAGCAAATTTCGGAATCTTAAAACTTACTGGATCAAAATATTTATGTAGGGGCTAGGGAGATAGCTCAGTAAATAAGCGCTTGCCTGGTGTCCTGAGTTCAAACCCCATTCCAAAAAAAAAAAAAAAAAAAAATTGAGTAAGTCTTCCTGTTGGTCCTAATACACCTGGATGCTCATGTTGAAGAGTTACTGACATAGCAGTAAAGAATACCCATTGTGGAGTCACACAATGAGATTTGAACTGAGGTGTAATAATAGGACCTTGGACAGATCACTCAACTGTTACTTTGGGAACTGTAAGCATTGCAAGTGAAGACTCAAGAAAATTGTTTGACATCAGTACATACAAAACACCCGGCGATGTGCTATAAAGAGTAATACTCTTGAGGCTGCGGTGTTTTTAAAAATAGCCTTAGTATTCATGTTAGAATGGTTTTTAATTCTTTAGTCTCCCGGTCCCTTTAGCATAGTTATACTGTCTTTCCCCAGGATTTAGTGAAGTCTAGAAATACTAGCGATCGAGATGAAAAGCATTGACTGCAAAAGCCAAGCCTTACGGTGTTCTTGTCTTCTTTATTCCTGTGTTGTGCAGCTCCACCTCAGCAAGGAAGGCCTCCGCCGCTTTCCAAGCCTTCATTTTCTCTTAGGATCACAGGAGTTACATGAGATGTGCCTATTGGATGTGGTGTTTTCTTACAGCCATGCCTTCTCTCTTTAAGGGATTGTTACAGGGTACAAAGAGAAGTACACAGTCAAGATCTGAAGCTGCTGCCCTACAGTGCCATTCTGCAACTAAATAAACAATTTAATCAAGAAGAAGAAGAAGAAGAAAGAGAAGTACACAGTCAAGATCTGAAGCTGCTGCCCTACAGTGCCATTCTGCAACCTCAGCAGCATATCCCTTTGATTGCAGACACTGTTTTAAAGCCACACATGGCTTTCACCTTGTGAGTGAGAGTTTTCAGATAAATAGGTCACTTTAGGTATCAAGTTCTATAAATAATTGTAACCCTCCTACTAAATCAACACTGTCCCATCATGAGGCATTCATTTTTTCCCAAGGCCTAAGCACTGTTCTGTGTTTCAAAAAGGCAGATACATAGCAGTGATTTTCAGTCTGGAAAAACTTTTTGAATCCTGCCTCCACTAAGTTTTTGTTTATTTGGTACAAGGTCTTACTATGCAGCTCAGACATAGTGATCCTCCTGTCTCAGCCTCACCCACACTGGGATTACAGCTCGTGCCACCATGCCCTGTCTTGGCCAGTTTAGCGTACCCCAGGGTGGGGTCGACATCACATGTGGTACCAGGATTGAACCCTAGTCCCTGTGCTTGCCTAAGCAGGCACTTAGTCCATTGAGCTATCTCACTAGCCCTCTACTAAGTATTTTTTATTTTTGGTATTTTAGCACATGGGCTACAGTGTCTCTCTACACAGATTGGACGCATAGTGATCTTTCTGTTTTTAGCCTCCCAAGTGCTGGGATTACAGGTTTTTGTGCCACCATGCCCAAACTTCTCCACTAAGTGTTGATGGTCTTCAGTTGACATCTTCCCAGCTTTAATTTCTTTTTTTTTGTATTTTTAGGGAAGGGTCTACAGGGTGTTCAGGGTCTCACTACTAGATTGGACTCCTAGTGAACTGCCTGTTCACGGCCTCGCAAGAGCTGAGATTACAGGCGCATGCTCGTCTCAGTTGTCTCAGTGCGCCTCGGGGGTGGGGCCTGCATGGCAGGCCTGGGGATCAAACTCCCGGCCCCTGCGCCTGCTTGCAGGCCCTTTAATCCACTGAGCTATTTGGCCAGCCCTTTTTAATTTCTTATATAAAGCAGGAATCATCGAATGTCTTCATACTACTGAAGTAAAATGTATAAAACATGTCAACCATATGTTAAGGCATAGAGGCTTAATCCTGCTTTGGAGGCAAGGGAAGAAAGATATTTAGCTTAGACCTTTGTCTCATTTGTTTTTTTCACAATACATTCTATAAGTGAGCTAATTTATTTTACTAGAGTAAAATAAATTTATATTTACTAGAGTCATTGCTTGCATATTCTTGTGAATTAGAGAAAGCAAATACATGGAGAAAGTTAAAATTTAATGTGGTAGAAAACACAATCTCCAGTGGGTTTTTTTTCCCACAAAGTAGTTCTTTATCTGTGCCTTGTCACTTAAGATAAATACTTCTGTTTCAAGATGACATTTAAAAGTTATCCTTATAGAACAACAGCAAAAATATAATTCTATAATTATAAAAGAGCTAATCTGAAGTTCATAGTTACACTATTCTCGTGCTTACAAGTATGATTCTGAAATGAACATGACTTCAATGCAGTGCTCATGTAAGTTTTCGAGGTCTGAGCGCGCACGAACAGACGTGTCAGCTGTGGGGGGGGGGGGCTATAAGCTACATCTCACGTGTGCTTTGAAAGAGTTCTTCCAGAGCCAGCCAGTCACAAAAACCAAGTCCTCACCCCAGTGCACAAGGCAGACAAGGAAAAACTGGAGTAACTGGGGTCAACAGGGCTCCTCCCCAACATGCAATGCATGCGACGACACTCGACAGCAGAGCAGGAGTGCTTCGGGGCTGGCCAGCGCAGGAGGAGCTGTCATGAGGGGCGAGGGAAGGTGGACTTTATCACTACCCAGTGCATGTAGGTGACCTGTTTCTCTCATCTGGAGCCTGAATGACACAGTTAATGAACCAGTTACCACTAACGTGGTCATCAAGTCTGGGAGGAAGAAACTATACTATAATATAATTTGAACCAATTGGAAGGATTTATGTTTGATACAAATATGTAACCTCGACATGAGATGTCTAAATAAAACGAGCACTTCCAAAGAGTCCAAGACAGCATCTCTTCTAAGATGTAGGCTTTGCTCAGAGCTCCCAATACATGGAATAGCCCATACCAAGGGCCACTGTGCCCACACGAAAGCCTTGGCTGCGACACACGTGTGGATCAGGCGCACGGGTATTTTGGTATTTCCCTTGCTCTTCAGTCTGTATAATCTATATGCAACAATTGCTGCAAAGCCTGCCCTTCCTATAGGGAAAAATGGTGCTTCTTTGGCTTTTTGGATAAGTTTAGATCCCTGATCTTTATCGTATGAAGAAAGAGAAACATCTGTGTTGCTTGACAAAGTAACTGCTTGAAGACTCTTCCGAAAGCCACAGGACACCCCAGCCTCCTCCACTTGCTCACAATCTTCAGTTTTAACAGAGCAACTTCTAGAAATTATTTTGGTAGTTTATTGGAAGATCAGAATATACTAAATATTTGTCTTTGGTGATTCTTTTGTATCTGACTTAATGTGGGCAGTAAACTATGTAATAGGAGATTCTGTTTGTTGTAGGAGATGATATCTTCATTCGAAATATACATTCAAGTAACGCTGTTATTGGGCTGGGGAGATAGCTCATTGGAGTAAGTGCTTGCCTGGCAAGTGCAAGGTCCTGAGTTCAATCTCTGGTACTGCAAAAAAGGAAAAAACAAAGAAAAAAAAATGCTATTATTCCCGAGTTAATATTTTTCCAATATAAGTGCTTAATGATAACAAATTAAGTACTTTTGTGTTCTATTTTTTAGAAAGTGTGTATATATATATATATATATATATAGAGAGAGAGAGAGAGAGAGAGAGAGAGATAGCTATGAATATATAAACAAGGGGAAAGTAGTTAAAAACATTCTAGGTCATAATGTTTATTTGGTAGTATATTGTTATATGAGGATAGCAGCCAGTTACAAAAGGAAATTACACATTTATGTAAAGTTACATATTTGAATCTATCTATCTATCTATCTATCTATATTAAATTTCTTTTAAAAATTGTCAGAGCCAGACTTGGTAGCACTCACCTGTATTCTGCATACTCTAGGGGCTGAGTCAGGAGCCCAGCTTAGACAACTTAGTGACTTGGTTAGATCCTGTCTCAAAAATTGGAAAAGGGCTAGAACTGTAGTTTGTTGTGAAGGCCCTAGGTTCTATCCCAGTACCATGCAACAGCCAGCACTGTTTAAAAAGTAGCATCTGTTATTTAAAAAGATGTATTTCCTTTAATGCTACAATTCCATCGTTTAAGC